GCTTAATACTTAAATGCATATCCACACTTTTAGATGAAATAAAATTGTTAATTTGTGGTAAATTTTACACTGGTCTCCCCATTTGCACACAGCTACACACTAGCTCGCTTCTGATTGGACGACCTACTGACCACCTCACCGCTGATAGGTCGGCCTCGAGCGATCTGACTTTCACACAAGGTCTCATACCGCGTGTTGTACATTTCACCCTGCCAGAGCTTTTAAAACTTCTAAAACATTTAGATACTTGGTCTAACACACAACCCCCCTAGAGAGTGACAAAACCTATGTCACAGGCCGTCTCTTTCTCGGAAATAAAAACGTAAATGCCAGATAACAGACTGCGACATCCATAACCTCGACCACGGTAGACTAGTTGACCTACAACTGGTGGTGTGCAAATGGGGAGACCATCATATAAATAACCACCATTTAACCTTACTTTACCATTCTGAGAAGATTCGACGGACAACTAAGTAGGATTTGAGCAAAAAAAGGAGGGGGGGGGGGTTATAGTTTTAAAGGGGAGTACCCCTCCAATAAAACTTCAGGAATCTGATATGCTTTTGTTTTTCCTCTTTTGCGTGTGCGTGCGCGCGTATGCGTCTTTTTTCCTACCTGGACTTGATTGAGAATAACCATGGTCGGTTTTTACTAAAAATCTGTCCAAACAACTTTGCTTCTGCCTTCTCCTCATGATATTTCTGAAACAGTGTCTGGTCATTCCAGAAAATGCTTTAACGCCTTGTGTGGGCTTTATTAGGGCGATACTTCTCTCCACAGTTGTTGACATGTATCCATTTGGTAAACATTTCGTTGATTAATGTGAGGTAAACAAGGGTAGCGCGCAGTGTAGTGACTCGTTAAGTTCTAGCCCGTCGCTAGTCATTTTCCAAAACAAAGGTCGTATACCAAGCACAAATATTTCGTGTCCAAACAGGAAGTAGACCAACTTGAACGTATACTAAAGCGGACACGTATACCGTATACTAAGCAAAAATATTTCCTGTCTAAACAGAAAGTAGACCAACTTGGATGTATACTAAAGCGGACGTATACCGAGGTATCACAGCCAGCAACAACATATTGGGAACAAGGAAACGACACCAAAAAGAATGGATAAACAGTCAAAACATGGACTATATTGCCAAATTAAAAAGAATTAAGAGCCTCATAAATCACACTTAATCAGAACGACAGAAAGAAAAACTAATGTTAGAATATAGCGAACTAAATAAAATGGTAAAGAAAAGTGCCAGAAATGACAAGAGAAGATTTATGGAAAATCATGCAGAAACAGCAGAAAATGCTGCTAAAGCATATGATCTACAAACCCTACACAAAATTACCCAACAAATCTGCCGAAGCAGAAACAATTACCACAGCATGCCCATCAGAGACAACAAAGGCACGCTGCTTACCACAGAACACAAACAAAACATGCGGAATAGACCCGATCCTGAACATCTCCGAGATATTTAACCAGCCTCTCAGGACCTTGACATTATTATTAAACCGCCAAGCAAAGAAAAAAGTCCTTAAAGCTATTTATACTTTGAAGAACAACAAGGCACCATGCAAAGACGAACTGCCAGCAGAACTTCTCTGCTAGCATTCTAGAACCATTGTTCAGGGATATTTGGGAAAAAGAAGTGTTGCCTGATGACTGGACTGAAGGAAAAAAAAATTTCAAATCCCTAAAAAAGGAGATTTAACAGACTGCAATAATTGGAGGGGAATTACTCTACTCTCAGCACCAAGCAAAATACTTTGTAAAATCATCATAATGCGAGTAGATTAATGCCTACGAGTAGAACAAGCAGGATTCAGAAAGGGCAGAGGAACAGCTGAGCACATCTTCACCCTACGTAACATTTCAGAACAATGGAATGAAGGGCAGATAGGTATGTATATTAACTTTGTGGACTTTGAGAAAGCTTTTGACAGCGTCCAAAGAGACAGTCTCTAGAAAATATAACGACATTATGGAATTGCAGAAAAGACAGTGAACATAATTGCTCTCTTCTATAAAGACTGTTCCTGCAGTATAAAAAAAATTGCATCTTTCCCAGTAAAGACAGGTGTAAGACAGGGAAGTGTTATGTCATCTCTCCTCTTCAACCTTGTGATTGATTGGATAATAAAGAAAACAGTAGACAGGACATTGAGAGGCATACGATGGACTCCATTCACCATAATTGAGGACCTTGATTTTGCAGATGATATAGCTTTTGTATCACATAAACGTAACAATATACAGACTACACAGCACAGAAGAAATAGTGGGACTGAGAATAAATACAAGGAAAACTAAGATCATGACAAACAGTCCAAACCAATAACTAGTGACCATAAATAACCAAACATTTAAATATGTAGAACATTTCACATATATTAGTAGGAAGACATACAGTCACGCCTGAACAAAGCTACAGCTGCTTTTGGAAGGATGAGGCAAATCTGGAAACCCACAGTTACTGCAGAGGAAAGAAACTTCGACTTTGCAAGAGCATCATTTTGCCAGTACTTCTTTATGGAGCAAAGTGCTGGAGAATGACCAAAAAGGATGCACACAAGCTATCTACAAGAGCAGCATTTTGCCAGTTCTTCTTTATGGAGCAAAGTGCTTGAGAATGACCAAAAAAAGCATGTACACAAGCTATCCCCCTTCCACCACACATGTCTACGCAAAACTGTCAACATTTTCTGGCTAGATACAATCTCAAACATTAAACTAATTCAAGTCACAAACCAAGAAACTCTAGACGGTACGATAACCAAGAGAAGGTGGAAATGGCTTGCCCAAGTTATAAAAATGAGTCCTGAAATGCCTACCAAAAACAGCTCTCACGTGGATACCAGAAGGAAAGAGAAAGAAAAGGCGCCCAAAAACAACATGGAGACGAACGATGGAGAGTGGCCTGAATGCGGCATCTCTGACATGAAAAACTGCAATGAAGATGGTACAGGACAGGAGAGCATGGAAAGTTCTCTCTGAAGCCTCATGTGCCACTAGGCTTAAAGAGAAATGATGATGATAATGATGATACCGAGGTATCACTGTATTCCCAAAGAACAGCAGCGGCTGCACTACAGGTAACCTACAATCTGTAGAGAGTGTATTTCTTTAAACAATGATTTTGTTATTATTTCTACCCTAGCTGAATTCCAATCCTCAGAAAGATGTATTCTATTTTGTCTGTCCTCGGGCGTAAACAAAATATTGAAGAATACTGATTCAGACAGTTCAATGGTATTACTGTGCGGAGGCTTCTTGCAGGCGAGGCGAATAGAAGCGTTGGAGGTAATGACAAACTGACGGTTTGATTTCCCAGATCGACAGATACATAAATGTTAGATGATATGCATAGATGGATATGACACAACAGAGATAGCGTTTATGACAAGGGAGGTGCTTTGATCGTCAAAGCGGTAAATGTGTACAAGAGAGGAAATTAGTCGGCACAATAACAGGCAGACAGAAACAGACAGTATCTATGTGTACACGCGCGTATGTATGCACATATGCGCGCGCGCACAAATAAACACACACGCACACAAACACACCTGTGTGCGTGCGGGAGGGTAGGTAAGAAACTAAAACTCTTGCATCTATTGTACCATAAAACAGGTGCTATTAATTTATACTAATCTCAAAACACTACAAGAGACAATATTACAGCCCGAGATAAACTAAGAGAGAGCTCAATATACGAATAGCTAGTGTGTCCTTCCAGCTTTCTATTTCTTTCTATGAGTGCTGATCAATCTGTGTCTGGTTAATATACATAATGTTTCCGCAGCCTCAAGGTTTCCGCATTTGTTAATTTCTATGTATTACATGCAACACAATGGAGTCCACAAACGAAATCTTTTTTCCAATCAAATCTTTATTTTAAATGTTGGTTTTATTCTAGACACAGCATTAGGGTAAGGTTTGTTTATAATTGTTGTATTTCTTATTCAACCTATGCTTGGTTAATATACATTTCTGTAACTGAGGGTGTCATTTCAGTGGTTTAGGGCGAATTCTGTATGTCTTTCATAATTGTTCGATCCCGTGTGGGTTCCGTAACCCTATTGTAGGGAAAACAATAATAGATACACTGCCTACCCAAAAAAGCATGTCATAAGAGTCGACTAACTGGGAGCTTTCTCAAAGTCGGAGTGCATCTGTCTGAGAGGCAAGGAATCAACAGTCTGCATGCACATGAGTAGGATCTGTAAAACTGATACACTCAACACTCAGGTTCTGGAACAACACTGCAGTCCAGCAGTGGACGAACAACCAGACCTATCCAGCGGAGTTTACAGCTGGTGAGCGCGAAGAAGATGATAACTGTTCATTCAAGCTGACTACATACATGTCTAATGAAGAGTATCCAATTGGTCATAACCCTTAGTACACATGTTTGTGCGGCGAGGCCCTGTCGTCATTTGGAGGTGACAGGTTAGATTCCCGGCAGGGTGACTATAGCTTTCGAATGTTATGTTATCTTCTTCTTCCACTTCTTATATGTTCACCGACTGTAAGTCACAGTAGAAAGTCCTGGCTGTTCGTCCATTTGGCATATATATTATACATACCAAATACGCCTGAAAGGCGTGGAAAGGGGTCCTTTATGTATGTAAACTTATGAGACAACCTGTATTATTGGAAGTCTGATATCGAAAAAGTTCGCTCTTTACATCCCAAAAGGTCTTATGTGATGCCTAAGTGAGGCAATATTGACAGAAACAAAACCATGGGTATACTGTATCCACAGGTGCTAAATACACAACCCTTCCAGGAGTCTTGTGTGTTGCTGGCTATTTTACTACGCCTTCACTTAACATAAAATATACAAGCACAATAATATGTTAACTGATGCATATGAGTTAATGCCGGCATATATGCTGGACTGTTTGACTGCAAGAGTTAAGCCGCCCTGGACACTCAGACACAACAGAACCCATAGAAGGTAAGGCACACCAGAAAACAAGGGACAAGGAGGACTTACTCTCTTGCAAGAGGCATCTGTGGGCTCCCAACCTGTCCGTGAACAGTCCCAAATGTGGTTTGTTGTCAACAATATCGGCGGAGCCTTGACCTGAATGCCCAAAATAGAAAAACAAGCAAAGATGCGTCAAAATATGGCGACCATTAGACGGGAAGGGGAGATAGTAAATACTTAGCGTAGGTAGGCAGGAAAATTGTCTCCCCTGTTTGCCAATTGCTTTCATCATGCCTCTTTCTCCCCCCCCCCCCCCCCCTCCCCCTCTAAACCCATATTTTTTATGTAAAGCTGTCTTTCTTTCTTTCTAACTAACTAACTAACTAATTAACTATCTATCTATCTATCTATCTATCTATCTATCTATCTATCTATCTATCTATCTATCTATCTATCTATCTATCTATCTATCTATCTATCTATCTATCTATCTATCTATCTATCTATCTATCTATCTATCTATCTATCTATCTATCTATCTCTATCTATCTATCTATCTATCTATCTATCTATCTATCTATCTATCTATCTATCTATCTATCTATCTATCTATCTATCTATCTATCTATCTATCTATCTATCTATCTTCTATCTATCTATCTATCTATCTATGCTATCTATCTATCTATCTATCTATCTATCTATCTATCTATCTATCTATCTATCTATCTATCTATCTATCTATCTATCTATCTATCTATCTATCTATCTATCTATCTATCTATCTATCTATCTATCTATCTATCTATATCTATCTATCTATCTATCTATCTATCTATCTATCTATCTATCTCTATCTATCTATCTATCTATCTATCTATCTATCTATCTATCTATCTATCTATCTATCTATCTATCTATCTATCTATCTATCTATCTATCTATCTATCTATCTATCTATCTATCTATCTATCTATCTATCTATCTATCTATCTATCTATCTATCTATCTATCTATCTATCTATCTATCTATCTATCTATCTATCTATCTATCTATCTATCTATCTATCTATCTATCTATCTATCTATCTATCTATCTATCTATCTATCTATCTATCTATCTATCTATCTATCTATCTATCTATCTATATCTATCTATCTATCTATCTATCTATCTATCTATCTATCTATCTATCTATCTATCTATCTATCTATCTATCTATCTATCTATCTATCTATCTATCTATCTATCTATCTATCTATCTATCTATCTATCTATCTATCTATTATCTATCTATCTATCTATCTATCTATCTATCTATCTATCTATCTATCTATCTATCTATCTATCTATCTATCTATCTATCTATCTATCTATATCTATCTATCTATCTATCTATCTATCTATCTATCTATCTATCTATCTATCTATCTATCTATCTATCTATCTATCTATCTATCTATCTATCTATCTATCTATCTATCTATCTATCTATCTATCCATCTATCTATGTCTGTATGTCTGTCTGTCTGTCTGACTATTCATCCATGCATCCACTAATGTACGTAAGTATATCTATATATTACATATCTTAAATCTAGGGCAGACATGCAAAACAAGTTTAGCGTTCTCCACAACTCAGCTTTGAACCACTGGTTACTGTTTCAAAAATCGCTCAACTCGTCTCTGGGCACCACTGATAAAATCAACCCAAGGCGGTCTGCTGTCAAATTACATGCAGCTCGCAATTTAACCGGGTATTTCGGAATTGTAAAAATTAACACAACGCAACGCCTAAGCCACAGATGCCTAACGTACAAACATCACAGAAAAGAACGACATGAACTCCACAGAAAATCGAAACTTCAATCTTCGACAAATTGTTGTTATTGCGGAAGCCAGTCAGACATCTTAGATGGGTACTGTTCCACAGCCTATTACTTTTAATGGCTTCCTGTGTTTTCCCCCAATCTGATTTGTTTCCAAAGACACTGGGCGCAAGAAATCATGATCACATGGCGAGCTGAAACCACAGGCAATAAAATAGTGACATCAGTGTTTCTCAAACTGTGCGCCTCGCTAGGCTATTGACACCCGTGACACGTCTGCAGACCTTCTTTAAAAAAAAAAAAAAACCTATCTTATTATAATTATCCGTTTGTGTCACAGGCGGAAGAAGGCTTTGTATCCGCAACGTTTTTGTGTAGCCTTTGGTTGTGATAGTGTGGAGATGACTAGTTCTACTTCCCGTTTGAAGTGATATCGTTTAACGGTCACCTTATTTTTAGCTCATATCTGCTTTATCAGGGAGGTGACCGTGACGAAGTTGATCACGCTCTGATGGCGGTGTCTGTTTCAAGGGTGATTTTCATGATGCAACTGTTTTCAAGTTCCACGTGGATCATCACTGCAGCTACGGAGTTTTGAGCTTTGAGCGACGCTCTTGGCAAGCAACTCACTGTTCTGCGGCCAGAGATGCTGATAACCCAGTGCGATGAAGCCTCTCGGCCTTTATTTTATTTGACTTATTTGTTCAGAGCTGAGAATATCGACGTCGATCGTCCGAAGATGCACACTAACGACTCTTTGATAACGTCAAACCTAAGATCAGAAGACGTGGGCGCGCTTGCTACCTCGACAAATGATTCAAACACGCAACAGGAGAAAGACCCCTGGAGTCCCGGTCCAGGTAAACCAGCACTTAAGGATTCTTAACCCTTTCTTCCCGAGAAGCCTTAAATCCAGTCACTACCGGCAGTGCCGCTTTCCCATAAATGTCCACACATGGCAATGTCTGAAGTGTCCTGTTTTCGTAAGTTAGTTGCGTTATCCTTTACTGGACGTTGCAGAACCAACCCCAGCAGTCTGTGTGTGTGTGCGGCTGTTGTGTCTTTTGTAGGCACATTTTACGTTCAGTAGTTTGTCATTGCTTTCTGTTAGGTCGGCTCTCGGTAACTCTGTCGAAACCAACGCAAGACAAATTGTCCGTAGCTGGGATCGAACTCGGCATTATGAAGCGCGTTCGCAACGCCTAGGCCAGACGCCGACTGTTATTGAAAAGTGTAGTTAAATTCCGATAGTCCTATGTGCATCTGCGCGTGTTTAACAGATAAGAATATCTTAACAACAAATATCATTGCCTTATGAAAGACAATTTGATGTCACATTTTACCCATAAGCCTCAATGATAGAGGTCACGGCATAAATTTCTCGATACACAATTTTAATGTCCTAGGGAATGTGTTGGCAGATTTCGTAAAACTTTGGCGTTTTTCCTTAAAAGGGCACTTGGAACGTTGTGTTGTGGCTTACATTTAACCTGTGATATCTGCGCCTTTCGATCCAAAGTATAGGATTTCAGACCAACCCCCCCCCCCCCCCCCCCCCCCCCCCGCCTTCCTCCAGACAACAATACTAATTTTTCTTGGCTTCCCCTTTAACTGCTTAGTGTGTCAATGATTCTGCTTCTTGCTCTTCTGGTCGCCTCGGCAAATACACACATCTGGCTGTTGTAGAGTTTCTTTGATGCTATCTTTCTGTCTTGTTCTCGACTAAATTGTGCTCAATGTCCATCTTCTCTTTCGAAAAACAAGACTGCGCACAAAGAATGATATTCAAGATAACTTATGTTGATGATAGCCTGTATGGGTATGGGTGTGTGTGTGGGTGTGTGTGTGTGTGCGCGCGCGCGCACGCAAATACTAGTGCTTGTATGTGTCGGGCATAAATAGTGTGTGTCCTAAACCTAAATCGGTAAAATAAAAGATAATCCCCATACTACACACCAGTACACACTAGCTCGCTTCTGATTGGTCGACCTTCAGCTTACCTCACTTCTGATTGGTCGGCCTCGAGCCATCCGATTTTCACACAAGGTGACGGGGCTGTTCCGTACTGCAGTCGATATCGAGTGTTGCATATTTCATGCCAGAGCTTTTAACACTCCAAAACTATTTAAAGGCTGGGTCTAGCACACAACTCCCCTGGAAAGTGATGAAACCTATGTCACAGGCAGTGTCTTTTTCGGAATAAAAACGTAATCGCTACAAAACAACAGGCCGCCACACCCATAACCTTGACTACGGTAGACTAGTCCAACCACGGCCTACTCTATTAGAGAAGGCGTTGGTCCAACAAACTTATCAATGAAATTGAACTACTTTTCGTGGGGGAGACTAACGTTTGTATAACCCCTAAATCATAAATTTTATTTGAATACGGATTTACTCTCGGGCATGCGTGTGTTCAGGAGATTACTAGAGTACAGAAAGGCATCGATGAATCAAGGAAACGGCAAGGAGAGCGGAAGTGTGACATTTAGCCACGCCACACGCTGCAGTCAGAGATGCTGGTTAGCTACATGGCCAGACACCGCAGTGTGGGTGGGGTGGCTGTCAGGTACTCAATTCTCATTAATTTAAAAAGTCTTCGGCACAAATCATGCTGTAGGCGATTTGTCCAGGCAAAACGGAAAAAGAAAGAAAAAACAAAAGAAAGAAATAAAAAAAAAAATGAAAAAAACTAGATTGTCCAAACAGTCTGAAAAAAAAAACCTGGCAGTCAGACTATTGTGTGAAACTTTCTGACGCCTCCCTAGCCTCCCATCCCTTCCCCAGGTAGGATACTAACGATCTACACTTAACCAGTAGGGTAGAGGCTAGACGCTCGCTGTCAGATGTCGTCACGGCTATGGGACAGTAAAAGATGATGATGATAAATCAACAGGTCTGTACGTAGTCGCCCATAACCAAGCTCAGGACCAGTGCTGACAAGCCGAAACACTGAATGGCCCGTGGTATGTGAACTGGGGTCTTAGTGGATCGGAGCGCCGCGGATTTTCCAGTGTAAAGCGAGAATCAGGCTAGACAAAACGACTATACAAGAGCAGATCGGGAGATTCGGCTGGACATCGGTGTGACCATAGTCTAGATTGTTATATTGTAGTATTTCATTGACAAATTGTTTTTACCGGTAGAAATGTGGCGTGTATTAGATTTTAGGTGTGATTCGTACAGTCCGGTGCCTGACTAGGTGTAATAATACGTTACGGTGTAGATAAGAATTGTTCCACTTAGATCTCCTAGAGCAGATAGACTCACGAGAGCAGTTAGACTCCCTCTCAGTAGTGATATCTCGTTAAGGGAAATAG